ATATTATGAGCATAAATTTCGTCAGGTGCCTGGAAGAAGGTTGTAATTGGGCCAAGTTGGTCAAAAGATCAAATTCGGTTTTCAGGTATCGATAAAGCTTGGAAATATCTTTCATTTGATATACGTATTGTCTCAAGGGCTACTTCATTCTGACATAATTAACAATAAACAACGACGGAAGGAGGTTTTCCATTATTTGTGCCCAGCAAATGGTCGTTAGCGCGTATTATAATGTAACAAAAAGTTCCAAGCAGGCTAACGTCCCACTTAAATGGGTACGCAAGCCAAGTTTCTTCCCCACAAAGGATCTTAGGATTCAACATGCCGCTTAGCGCAAGTTTAATGCAGGGCGAGTTCACATTTAAGGCAGATGGAGTTCCTGGTAAAAGGTTGTAAGCAGAACAATTTAAATAACTTCAAAATTAAGTAATATTTTGAAATAAAAATGTTCAATATGATTTTCAATATTAAATACTTTCATGGGCCCAAATTTCAGCCTGATGTGATTTTCATTTAGAAATGGGAGCACAAAACCTTTCAACCTCAATAATCTCCAAAAGTGCGTTTTGCGTGCCTGGGTGCTTACATCATTTTCCTTGGCACACAACGATTTCAAGATGGCAGCACCCCATGCAGGGGGTCAGCCAGGTCAACTTATTCCACTTCTCAGATCACCACCTCCAACTTGGGGTGGGGAACTCAAACGAGACCGGATTCAAAGGCGGGACCAATCGAGCGAGGTCTTGTAGACTGGATTGAACAAGTTGATGGTGGACTCTTGCTGCGGCCCCGCCTACTGCCCCGCCCACATCAGCATAACAATTATTATCACTGTCATTGATGGTGGACTCTGCTATGGCCCCGCCCACTGCCCCGCCCACAGCAGCGTAACAATTGTCATCACTGGCATTATGGTGACTCTGCTGTGGCCCTACCCACTGCCCCGCCCACAGCAGCAAAACAATTTCATCACTGGCACTGATGGTGGACTCGGCTATGGCCCCGCCCACTGCCCCGCCCACAGCAGCGTAATAATTGTCATCACTGGCATTATGGTGGACTCTGCTGTGGCCCTACCCACTGAACCGCCAACAGCAGCATAACATTGGTCCATCACTGGCACTGATGGTTGACTCTACTGTGGCCCCACCCACAGCAGTATAACAACTGTCATCACTGGCGTTGCCGGGGCCGATCCTGGAAGCACTGGTTTGGGGCGGGTAGGGCGGTAGTCATCTGGTAGGAGGACTGGCTCCTCCTCCTCTTACCTTGACCTTTCTGATGACCAGAGTGATGAGGATGATGACAATAATGAGGAGGAGTAAGCAGCGGTAACGGCAATCACTGCAATCATCAGTCCATTTGCCAGGCCTAAATAATAACATGTAATATGTTATAAGCTATATTTTTAGCTTTTCATTTCTAACGTTGACTGGCCCGCTGCGCCATTGTGGAAGTTTTCATGGTCATTACAGCCATCAGATCCAGAATTCCAACATGGTATGGATGTATTGCTGAGGAAGTGTCCAATTCTTGGTTTTTTTAAGAATGTTGCACGGATTCCAAACGACCCAGGAATGAGTGTTGCATTCCCCACATAAGTTCATGCATGTCAGTGAAATATGACATCCATGGAGTGTCACATGTGCACCCAGATGCATAATGTCAGGTGAATATGAATATTCATCGTCCTGATTCATAGCCAATCAGAGTGCTCCATCCAATTTTGGTAGCACGTCCATGCCGTGTGTACAATGGGGTTGCAGATTATTCCAGTTGGTAATTGGAATCAACGTACACACATATGAGGTCAAGGATGCAGGAATCGTTCCTGCGTGTTATTATACCATGCACTTCACATAACCCCAGGACGTTATGTGGTAGTCAACGCCGGGACGTTATGAGGTAGTCAACGCCACTGTACAGTATGGTATGCCATGGTGCAGGCGGACTTAAACCCGGCCCAATTACCGACTTGATTCAAGTCTAGGCTATGAGATTGGCCCATTACCTGAGTGAGTTCTGTAGCTGCATATGGTTCCTTCAATGCTTGACAGCTCCAAGGCAAAGCACATATGTTGCATCCTGGCCATGGCTTCCTGAAATGTTAAGAAAGACAACCATACATAAAAGATCAACTTCTCTGATCAGCCACTTGTGGCAATTCTTGAAAGGACACTTGTGATGAATTAGTTTATGAACAAATTTTGTGCAACTTTCAAACTCCTCTTCAATGAATAATCTATTTCACATCCCTTTTTATTGAAAAATGCACTTCTTATAGGCATTTCACAAAAGAAAACTTTTGTGGGAAAGGTTTGCTCAGTTACTGCCGTGTCCTGACACAACAAATCACCAACGAAATCACCAAAGAAATGAACATTTACGCCAGCACATTTTCCAAAATTCTAGCAATGTTTTGTGCTGAAATAGATGTAACATTGAGGTATCCACCCAGAATGACATCACAGTTTTGCTCATGAATATGTAAATTTGCATTTACATAAAAACAAGAGCACCAAAATACCCTTGAAAATACCTTGGAATAACGAAATTGAAAATAAGGAAGGACACAAAGGTGCATTATCAAGGACTGCATTAAAAAGAATTCCATTGCATGGCGGGTCCTTTAAAAAGTTTGTTCTTTTCTAAGGATTCTATGCACTACTCTCCTGCTGTAAGCCATGCAGCTAAATAAACCTACCGTATGCGCTTGTGGATATTAATAAAAGGAGCAAGCATACTCTGTGTGAGGACCAGTGTGTAAATTACATACCGTGTGAGGACTACAGACTATGTATTGAAGTCCTCAATCTGTTGTTGAGAACAGTACTCGCATGTACATGTATGTTTGTGTGCTTCGTCTATGGGAGAATTAAAGGTAGAGTAGATCATTTGCAGCTATCCAAAAGTAACTGACAAAATTATTGTTGAAAGTTTTAATACTTGGTTTAAATATAGTAATGGCAATAAACCCTCTGTGAAAATATTCTTTCTGGCATGCTGTCATTTTCAGAAAACAGTAAAACAAGGCAATTTTCATGAGACATCAAGTGAGTTGTAAGGTTTTGTTCATATAATTTGAAGAATCTGTGAATGGTTGCGTGCAAGCACTGACATGACGCACAAGCATGCACCATCGCTAACTATTATTTATTGGTTCGTTGCATGACATCGCGTAGCTGCAATCGGCTGAATGAGAACATGTCCGGGATGCTGATTTTGGGCACAATTGAAATCGATTTGAAATCGAGATCCCAGTATATTGGGTTCTTGGAATGTACAGCAATTACTGAGCTAAAATGTTTTCAGGTTAGTTTGTTAAACATCTGCAGATTTTGAGCACTTTTGTAGCGTAAAAAACAACGCCTCAATGACAGGACCTCTCTTACCCTTATGACTCTACGCCCCGCCCTTTTTGAGCACCCATATACTGATTTCAAATAGACTGACACCACATTATTGCTGAACATACCTGTTCATCAGTCTGTGATGTGTAAAGTTAGGCGTGGCTCTCCCAAATCTCAGCATTCATCTCAGCAATGGACCAATCAGCCTATGGAGGGCACAAAATATGAATGAATATTCAAATTTAGTGATGCATGAACTGAACTGGGATGCAATAAAAGAGAAAGCCTTAAAATGTGAGTTTGGGAAATTTTGTAACAAAGCACTGCTGATGCTGAATCACTGAAAGAAATACATGTACAAGTTTTGTTATGATGAATATAATTTAAATGAACTATGCAAGAGTAGTGCTGTTGAATGCTATATATATGCATGTAAAACACCAACTGCACACTAGCTAAAATGTAGATAAATATAAAGAAAGTGAAGGAAAATAAAACCCCCGACAAAACAAAACTACGTTCCAAAACTAATTACTGCCGTTCATTTTTACCTCTTTATTTGTTTATTTTTGTCTACACAACAGACTTGAGTATCCATGGGCGTCAATCGGTGGGGGATGGGGAACAAGTCCTCCCTCCCCACTTTTTTAAGTCGCAGGATATCATATCATTTGTGTCCCCCCCCCCCCCCCCACTTTTTTTGTCCCCGAATTAAAATTGTTGCCAACATAATGATTCTATAGCTCACAATAGCTGATGACTCCAAACTCAAAAATAGATGATTATTTTGCTCACAACAATTTGAAGTGGTCAGAAATTGCCTCAGATCACACCACAGAGCATCTAGAATACAACATTTTCCGGGGCCCTTAAGCGGGCTCTAAACCCCATGCCTGTTAGGGCTTCGCGCTCGCATTAACTCTGTTCAAGATATGCCCCTCCCCCTACTTTCGAGAATCTGGAAATTCCACAAGTGATAGACACCTGTTGTGAGTATCCTGACTGGAAACATATCAAAGGATATTAAAACAGGTGTCATCTGCAATAAGAGTCAGCTCAGAATAACTGCATCAGGTAATTGACCCTGAGGCTTCTTTATGTTTACCTTTCTGATAAACCTGTCCATAATCTTGCTAATTACAAGCTCTAGACTCTTGGATCCATTTGATATAAAACACAGTCAGCATGCTGTATTTGATTTCACTATGAGCACGTACCAATTAAAGCTCTACATAAGTGGAATCTGGGGACTGCAAATATTACCAGCCCAGAAACCTTTGGATCCATTTGAAATAAAACACTGTATTTGATTTTACTATGAGCACGTACCAAAGTTCTACGTTATCAGAATTTGGGTAGTGGTACTGCAAATATTACCACCGAACACCTTTGGATCCATTAGATATAAAACACTGTATTTGATTTTACTATGAGCACATACCACATCGCTACATAAGTGGAACCAGGGACTGCAAATGAGTGTACTCAAAATCAGGTGACATGGGCTGTGTTGATACAGAGGGCGTATACATAGATCGCCATCTTTGTTCATTTCTGCCATTGCTGTAAGTGACATCAGAATGGGAAGATGGCAGTGGTTCATTTCATGTGTACCTGAAGGTGAGATTTTTATTTAGTGGGTCTACCTGTAAGTTTGTCTATACATCTGATATAAATCAGCAGCATCACATTATCTCATATGAAGTACATGTACATGTTAACTCAGTATTTGCCAATTACAAGTGTATACGTATTTACTGGAAATTCAGGTGGAATACATGAATCTCCTTAATTCATGACAGAAATAAGTGACGTATTGGGCAAAAAAAAAAAAAAACATGTTTAGCGTCCTGCCTCTTTGACAAAAAGGAAGGAGGAGGCCTTTTTTTTTTTTTCTTCTTTTCAAATGGCCGCCCGACACATTTTTCAGACAACGCGGCCGGGCTATTTTTCAAGATGGTTACCAGCTTTTTTCAAAATGGCCGCCACTTGGACTCAGGAAATGACATAATGGCTTCTTATGGGCAAGATGCAACAGAAAATGAGACCAAAATGATGTAACTATGCAGAACCGAACATCTCTTCTGCGCAGAGATCGTTACATTTATCAATTTTTGTCTTTAAAAAAAAAAAAAAAAAAAAAAAAAAGGAGGCGGCCTCTAAAAAGGAAGCGGGCGGGGACGCTAAACATGTTTTTTTTTTTTACTTCGCCTTGTTTGTACTTTACGAACAAGTGTTAGACCTTTAAGAATGCAGCTTTGTGAATCACAAAATAATAATAAAACAACAAAAAATAAAACCGATGTGAAGGTAAATGTATTTTTATGAATTTCTTAAGGAAAGTGGACTTTGAGTCTACGATTTGGGCCAATTAAAGTACTTGTAATTTTTTTTGGGGTACAGACAATATTTGGTTGCAGTAACTCCAGCTCACCTCAACTCAAACCACCCAGCTGACCCAGGCAAGCTCAAAGGTGGAGTGATAAGACTCTGCACTGAGTAACAGTAAGACAGCCCTTTTGTATACAAGTGCCCTTTTAACTGTAGCGTAACCCCCCCCCCCCCCCCCCCCCCCCGGATATTTGTAAAGAGTGCCCTTTTTTTTTTTAAACGATGCCTTTTTTTTAAACAGTGCCTATTTTGTTACCAGCAGCCTTTTACGAGTACCCTTTTGGGAATTTTGGGCGACCATCAGCAATTGTGCCACCCTGAAAAGTGCCACATATTGTCCATGATCGTCTGGTTTGAACAGCGCCCCAATACCAAGATGAGCCCCCCCCCACCTCGCCCCCCCCCCCACACCTCACTTTATTTTTTATTTTACGCAGGCTAATTTTACGAGGGACGTGCGAGTACTCTTTTCACAAACTGTTTTCAACACTGAGTATACAGTGTTTATACAAATACGTCAGTGTAGGGCAAAATCCAGTGTTAGAAAGAAAAATCTATTTTTTGTGAACCGTTTCATTCAGACC